TTGTGGTGCCTCCCACACCCGCAGACCACACCCTCACAAGAGCTTTTGAATATGATGATGGGCTTTGTGACAGGCTGCAAAGGAAGCATCTTCATTTATCAGAAGGACCGACACAGACAACTTTCCTCTCTAGCCTCAGTGTGATGAAATCAGAAACCTTTAACAGAGATTGTTAAAGGATTTTGAGAAATTTGCAAGCACATAAAAATTAGCCTCTGTGAATTGAATTATGCCCTCCCCCAATTCATCTGTTGGGCTTCTAACCCATGTCTTGGTTACTTTTCTGTTGCTGTGATGAAACATCATGACCAAGGCATCTTATAAAAGAGATACTTAATCTGCCGTATGATATTAGAGGATGGCAGAGGGAAAGAACTCCTGAGAGCTTGCACACATGACCACACCTTCTAATTCTTTCCTGGTAGTTCCACTAACTGGGAACCAGGTACTCAAGCATATGAGCCTTTGGAAGCCAGTGTATTCAGACCACCACACCCTGTATACCTCGGGAAATGACTGAGTCTCAATATATGGTGTGACTGTGGTGGTCAGTTTGAGGAGAGTTAGAACACGGGAGGAAAAGGACAGGGAAGTCCGGTTCCCTGAGATGCTAGCTTCTTATTCCCAGGAGATATTGGGAAAAGAATCTTAAGGAGGCTATGGGGATAGTTATCTCAACAGTACCAATAACAGTAAGGGAAAGATGCAAGAGACCTATAAAATAGCCCCACCAGCATCTGTTTCAGGGACTTCCAGCCTTAGGCTCTCACACCCTGAAGGGAATAAGTTCTAACTTTCTCTTTCTCTGCATTCTAGTCTTCAGTCTTTTCTAAACTTTCTTGTCATTGTATCAGGATAAATTAGCTTGCTAACCCCTAGATTGCCACCAGCACCCACCCCTCACCAATGTCCCCTACCCACTGTGGTGCATTTTACTTCATTACTTCATCTGTTCGAAGTAACCAAGTTAATTGGGTAGTCATATGCTTTTCTGTTGTAGCATATATAGCTGTGCACATATGAATACCCAATTAACTAACTTCCTACATTTGAAAATAAAAACCCAGTAAAGCAGCAGTCAATGCTCATGAAAGGTATATACACTTGGGGGGAAATGAGAAAAATGTTGAGAAAAGCAATAGCGAGAATGAGAGAAAAAAGTGGTCTATGAAATGTACAACATACTTGAAAGAAATATCATTAGCTAGACAGCTAGACTGACCAAATGTTAAAGAAAATAAAAGCAAAAAAAAAAAAAAAAAAAAAAAAAAAAAAACCAACCAAACAACCCAGGAATGAAGGACAATCAGTTTTAGTTATGTGCTAATTAAAAAGATCAAGTCAGCTGAAATATAAAGTTGTACACAAGAAGCCTCAAGCCTCGCTAACCATGTGAGGTTAAAAAGCCTCTACAGTGGCACAAGTCAGCAGTGAATCAAGAGGAAAACAGCCAAGCAATGTAGACTGGGAAACAAGCTTCAGGGAGTGGAGAGACTGAATTACGAATTAGCATCTTCCCACAGTGCAGCCCAGCACACCGTTTCCCAAAGGAACACTTCAATGACTAAAGAGCAGAGCGGCTAATACAAAACCACAAATGTGTCCATAAAACAGGTTACAGAAAATGTAACAACATGCTGTGTAGGGCTGATATTACTCAGAGTGAAACCTAGAGCCATCAAGTGTAAGAAAACAGGCTGATAGAGGGGCCTGGGCCAGGCTCTGGAACCTTTCCAGACTGAAGCCAGGAAATACATAACTTGTAGCCAAGAGGATTTCTGTCTACTAATGCAAGACCATTGCCTTGTATGAAAACCAAGTCGGTGAAATACAGCATATGTGAGCATAATGGACACAATCACACCATCTCAGTAGATTAAGAAACACAGGACCTTCTCACAGTAAATGGACCCAACAAACAGCAGTGGTAGGGAGTTCAGCCTCTCTCACAGGGTGCCTACATAAAGCCAGCCAACATCACACAAGGAGGGGCAGACCCAAGCCTCAGTTTACCTCTGTCAGGAATGGGGTGAAGATTGCTGTCTCTGTGTCTGTCCCACACTGGCTGGAAGCCCTGGTCAGGACACTGGTGAAGAGGTGCTCATTTTAGGACTACAGGAGCATTACTGGGACCACGCAGCTCTGAGTAACCTAAACAGCACTGAGTGGCAAGCTTTACAGAGTGTGCACTGTGTGCCACAGAAATGGGAACATGTATTCAGTGTTATAAATGACATCGTTTCAAGTCTGCATTGCCCATCTTAGGACTTCCTTCCCTCTATTATCTTCTTCTTAATTTATTCAGATGTTTGTTTGTGCACATACATCAGAGGACAACTATATGGGGATCAGCTTTTTTCTTCCACTGGGGATCAAACTCAGGTCATCATGCTTGGTGTCTACTACCTTTACCCATGACCTTATCACCCATGACCTAACCAATTCCCTCTTTGCTTTTTAATTAGAGACAATGCCTCACTCTCGGTACAGGATATTTTAGACATGTGTCATGATGCCCATCTTCTCTTTGCCTTTTAATATATTTCAACATTATCCTATTTTCTGTGTGTTCCTAATTTCCCCCAATACCCTTGGTTATCATAGTGACCATGGGGAAATAGTTCATTCTTAGGTGTTTGGAAACAATGAAGTATATCTATTTATTATACGTAGCTATTAGGGCATTATTAATTGCTGTCCTCTGGAGTCTCCCCCGAGGACTGCCGAATGTATGAGAGCCAAGGGAGCTTGACAGTGGATCTCCCTGACACCACTGGAGTTCAAGTCCATGCTCTACTACGCAATAGCTGTGCCCCATCAGTGCTGGATCTCTCCACTTGTAGTGTGGGGATAATATAATACTATCAGTTTCTTAATAGTGGGATGCAGCATTTTATTGTCATACGCATGCCCAACTAAGCATAGGAATAAGATGGTAAATATAAGATTTCCTCTAAAAGTTCACTCAGAGGGCACAGTTTGCCTTACTTGAATGCTTACCCTAAACCAGCATAGTTTAGCTTGACCCCATTGCCCAGAGCTCCCAGACTGGGGTCCATGGTGTGCTTGAAGTGAAGTGAGGTGTTATCAAAGGGTTACAAAGGGGAATGACTTAATTCCATTGTTTAAAGCAGGTGTGCCTGCAGCCCGATGCAGGTTGCCTGCAACATTAGAGATGGGTGTGTACAGCTTATAGCCCAAGCCAAGCAGAGTCACATGCTGCTAAGCTATTCTTTATGCTTGTTTGTGCCTCGCTCAACTCTCTCAACATGGTGGGAACTGGCAATTTGTCTACAGACCTGCCTGCCACCTCTGAGATAGCTCCTCATCAAGGCAGACCTTGGTCATGGAAGCAAATCCTGGACTGAAGAAAAGACATCATTGTGAAAGGAAAGTCACTTGTTTATGAATAGAAAGGGCATATATTCTAGAAACTGTCCTTAGCTAGTTTTTCCAGGAATAATCCTAGAGTAGACAGGCTGTAGTCTCAAAGAAATATGGACAGGCTTGGCTCTCAATCCCTTAGACAGCAAGCAGGCATCTGCTGTGCAGTTAAGAGAGATTTGGATATAAGGTTTTAACTGGAGAAAGGCTTGAAGATGGACACTCTAGACTCTTTCATAGGTCACCTCTATGGTAGATGTTTGTTCCCATCATGTCCATTGAAAGCACAAGCCTAGAGGGTGGCTTTCCGTGACAGGAACCTGTACAGGAGCAGCCAGGGTATTGAGGTTGCATGCCCCCTTGGAATCATTCTGCATGAGGGAGACAAGAGAATAGATACCTGGAGGCACTGATACTATGATGGATAGAGAGAAAGGCACCTTTAGGTCACATTTCAACTCACGAAGAGGAGATTCAATGTAAAGCAATATGCCTCCGTGAGGGTGACTGAATCTCAGCCACTCTGACAAGCAGTGCTGCGTCACAGTTGAGAGTATGAGTGACTGTTGCTGGACATGTGGGTTCATGAATGTAATTCCTGCACTGGGGAGGCTGAGGCAGGAGGCTGAAAACTTTGTGGCTGACTTAGGCTATATAGAAGCATTGAGGCAAACTAAAACAACCATAAAACCCAAACCAAAACAACAAAAAGAGTAGCTGCTACTTTGTTCTCTTTTTGTGGCAAATTCATCAATGATTATTTAAAAAAAAAAAAAAGTGAATATCCTACTGACAGTGCACACCAGCAGAGTGTCCTTGACCCCAAGGACCTTCCTTGGTGGCATGCCCAGGCAGGTCACTAACCAGCAGAGATCTCTCAGTGACTCATGACATTGCATGTGCTAATGAATTCACCTTGCTAGCAAATGAACACACATTGTTCTCCAGCTGTTGATTTGCTGTGACAGTCGATATATATTTTGATTTATGTGACACTGTGGCTTTGTCCCATAATGCTCTGTGACAGTAGAAGAAACATGGGTAAGGGCTAATGGCACAAATGGGGGCTTAATGCGCAAAATGCAAACATTCATTGCTTTAAGCCAATAATAGGTCATCGCAAATTGAGAAACAGTGACCTCACGAGGCTAGAGAGGGGATCCTTTTTATTTATTTGCTTTCTTTTGTTCTGCAAAGGACATATAAACTTGGTGCTTCAAAATAATCTATTTCAGAAAATTCTACTTTCTCATTCATTTCCATGGCCATAGTAGGTAATCAAACTTCCATGCCAGGTAACAGGTTTGGACACAAGGAGAAACACATATGATCATAGGCGTGCAAAGTGAGAGTGATCATAGGGCTGGAGAGCCATTAAAGGCTAGACTCCAGGTCTCTCTAAGAGTGATCATAGGCCTGGAGAGAGGTTTCAGCCATTAAAGGCTAGCCTCCAGGTCTCTCTGAGAGTGGTCATAGGTTGAGACGTGAGATCTGACAGTGACTGTCTCCCTGTGAACCTCAGAGCTGTTGTCCGAGCTGCTGATGAAATGCTGTGGGTTTGGGCTCAGGGTGTGGACCATGCTTTCTCCAACTCTGTTTTCTCTCTTCTCTTGCAGTGCTCCGACTGTTGAAAGAGGGGGCGGACCCACACACTCTCGTTTCCTCAGGAGGGTCCTTACTCCACCTGGTAAGGACTGACACTTGAAGGGGTCATGTGGAGATACTTAGAGACAGAGAATAAATTAAGGATTCAAAAATCAGTCCCAGCACAAGTGTCAAACAATGAACTAAATAAAATAATTAATTAATAAGTGGGCATTTCAGGTGTGGAGAAAGAGCTGCTGAGTTTGATGCTCTGAAGAGGGGAAAGTCAGCAGACCCTAGCTGACCTGAGGAGGAGTAGGCAGAAAAAAGACTCAAGTCTCAACTCACTCTTTTGCTTCTACCTAGTGAACCTTTTATCAAGGCCTTGCACATTGCATCCTTGCTTCTGTAAAGATCTTGTCACAATGGAAGGAATGGTAATGTATGGTGTGGCAGTCACAATCATTAGTACATTCTCCTAAGAGATGGAGTGAAGACTGGAGGCACAGTGAAGGAGCTGTGAATGAAAGACCCCCCCAAGGGTATAGAGCCTACCTGGCTAATGAGAAGGTCGTTACCCTAGACCCAAGTAATAGAATGCAAATATTGGGAAAGAGTCCAGCAAGAAGGAAAAGGCTGTGTTGAGAGGCCTCATCGCCTGCCAGTTCTGAGGCAGGCATTTTGATGCTGTCATGGGTACATAGATCAGGTCTGGGAGATGTACAAAGAAACTGAGTGTTGTGTGAGAGAGGGAAGATCACTACTGTACTCTCTTCCAGCAGTGATTACTGAGTAAATAAAAACAAAGGGACAATTGCAGGTTTCCAGAGAGAAAAAAATTACAGGGTTTCAGAATGCCTTAGGTGCTGAGAAAGGCAATTTAGCCATCTAGAATGTCAAATGTGAACAGCCTCATGGGAAACCCACGCCTTGGAACATCCCACATTGGATGCCTGATGCCCCTTAGACTTGGGTCCTGATTACACACAGTTGGTTTCATCGATGTCTCGAAGGGTGGCTTGTGCATGGGGATCAAGGACAAGCTGCAGACACTGTTGGGCTTTCTTGGGGTTCTGTTTATTTAACTCCAATATTACTCACTGAACCCCAGGCTCTAAGTCAATGGTTCTCAATCTTCCTAATGCATAACGTTATTTTCATTGCCTTCATAACTGTTATGAATCCTAATGTAAATATATTACATGAAGAATAATTTATATGTGACACCTGCAAAAGGGTCATTTGACCTCCAAGAGCGGTAGTTACCCACAGGTTGAGAACCACTGCTATAAGGGCTGATTTCTGTAAGACATTTCTCTTAGATGTTCCAGAAAAAGAAAAACATTTATATGGGAATCACATGTTCTAATAAGGCTATGGTTGATATAGATTCCAGAGACAAATTAATATTTTTGGTTGCATATATGTAGTTTAACTTCCTTTAAATACATGTTTTGTGAACATGCCTGAGTCAGTTTCTTTGCCTACTGGTTCTTAAAAATCCTTGTTGCAAACAAATGGCAGGTATCAAATTCTGGATGATGGACAGGAAGATACTTGAGAAAGCAACCATGCCTGTGCCCCCAGGAAGGTTGTCTCATGAAGACATTGTAGAGGGATTCTCAAATTTCAGTCTTTGTAAGAATTTATGGAGTGAGGAGTGCATTTATGTAAGCCTTGATAAAATGTTGGGGTTTGTGACATTGGAATTTACTTAATGAGCTAAGAGAAGGACTGCCGATGTCCCACAACAGAGAGTGACTTTCAAACATTCTCAATGCTATGCTGTGGCATCCTTCCATCACAGGCCAGCTGAAGTGAAATTGCTTAGAAATTACAGATATCCTTCTACTGAATGGATTCTACTTGTAATACAAAGATAAGGGATTTATGTAGTTGTTATGATGACTACAAAAAAAAATCCAAGATACATTGGGTATCTTGAGTAGATGGGTAATTGAGTAGATGATGTAGAGGAGAGGAAGGGAGGGGACAGGGAAAAGGTGAGGAGATATATATACATAGATGATATATATATATATATATATATATATATATATATATACACACACACACACACACACACACACACACACACACACACAGAGAGAGAGAGAGAGAGAGAGAGAGAGATGAAAGATATTTCAGAGGATAGACTGACAAATACTATAGAGAGATAAAATAGAGAGGTGATGATAGATAAATATGATAGAAATATATGATAGAGTATTGATAGAGGACAGATGCATAAATGAAGAAATAAGTAGATAATAGATGATTTTATAGAGATATGTGGATAGATGAATGGATAGATAGATGATAGACAGGTAGACTGATGATAGATACATGATATATGATTCATAGAGAATAGATACATGGACATAGATAATAGATGGACAGGTAGATGATACATACTGATGTTTAATAAGGATCGGGAGAAATAGGCCAAATAGATGTTTATTCATGGAGAAATAACTCACAACATAGACAGATGAACACCATCAGGTTCCTGTCCCAAGGATGCCTCTCGATGTGTTCTTGTCCCCGTGCGGCAAGCCAGAGCTCTCCGAGCCCCCTCCTCAGCCTTAGTTCCCCCAGGTCATGTCTGGCCCTGTCTCCACCCTGAATGGGCATGGTCTATGCAGACAAGGTGAATATCTCACTACAGATACATGGATAGATAAACTGATAGCTGATATAATGATGAGGTATAGCTTGGAAAGAAGTGTTAACTCAGAACATATCTAGGCTTTTCCGTGGCCCCATGGGGCAACAATTTTCCCTAAAGTGGAGAAGTATCCATGAGGAATAGGGTTTTCTTGGATTCTCTGAACACTTCCAGATGAGAGATGTGTATTAAAATTGTCTAGGATCCAGATGTTAGGGAAGGAAGAGACAAAAGAGAACAGGAGAGACCTGACAGTGTTCAGGTTACAGAGTTTGGTGACATGGAGAGAGGAGATAGAGACAGTGAGCACACTTGTGTTAGAGAAACACTAGGATTCACGGGCACGTGAACTACGAGGGGTTTTATACAGAATAGCATAGGTCACCAGACCCGGTCCTTAAAATGCTTAGTCTTTGGACAAGAGACACTACATTTTATACTGTGTGAACTCCAACTGGTGAGTTCAGCTTGACATTTGGAAAAAGAGGCAAGGGTGCCAGACAGCCTAGCCATATGATGCCTAGCGACAGGCAGAAAAGCGGTTCCTAGCGCTGCTGAGCATGGGAGTCATCTTGCTCATTTTCCTGGTGTGGTAAAGTGTCACCACAAACTAGTTGACATGGTGATGATCAACATGAACTGAGGGGAAGAGGTGTTATCTTGAGGAAAATTCTTTCTAGGCAGCATGGGCTTCACTAAACCGTGATAATAGCAAAAGACCGCTGTTACAGAGATGTTCAGCCTTCATAATCTTTTCAGACAAGTGTGATTAAAGGTATTTATTGCCGTCAAATTATTATTCATAATCTTTAGAAGTGTGAATCGCAAAGTACATCGCTAGAGAAGGGTGGGTGTCACTTTGAGCTTTGCATCTAATTAGCTTTTTTATTCTTCTTAAAGGACTCTGAAATTCCAAACGCCAATCACGTTTGGGGTATGAATGTGGATTCCTGCAGTCCGGGTTAGGATGTCTTTGTGTTTGCGTGTACTTGTGTGTGGTGTGAGGGTGGGGAGGGGTGCATGCATGTGAGTGTGAGCTGTAAGTGTGGATCCCCACAATCCAGGTCTGGGATGTCTTTGTGTGTGTGTGTGTGTGTGTGTGTGTGTGTGTGTGTGTGTGGTATATGCAGGTGAGTGTGGGGGTATATTCCTACCTATGGAGGCTAGAGAAGGCTGATGGGTGTCTTCTATCACCCTCCACCTGATCACTGTGAGACTGTAGAACCATACCTGAGTCCTTCCTCCTGACTTATGGAGGTCATAGACTGACTGGAGCAGATGGAGGTGCAGGTGACTGTCAGTCAGTAGCAGACTCCTCCAATGCTGTATTCTTCACTGTGCTGTCCAGTCATGGGGGGGCGGATGAATTGACACAGGGGATATTGAATGATTTGGTAGGAAGAGTCTGTTCTGAGCATGTGTAAAATCCTCCATCACAAAAAAGAAATGTTATGTGCATGTCAAAGGTCTCAATGAATGGTTTGTGTCAAAAGGATAATGCACTCAAATACAAAGTAGAGCACTCACTGTACATGGCCGAAGAATCTAATGAAGACATGTCTTAATGTATTAAGTATCCACCCCTATTTACTTTTTTCATTGCCCAGATGTCCTCCATCAGTCTGACATCTGTCCCTTTCCTTTAGTCTCACTGGAGATTGGGAATACATTTTTGGCTTTGCTTATTGTGTTCTAACTGTATAATAATGATGCGTGCATCATTTATTATAGCTTGTGTTTCCTTTTTGTCTTTCTTGCAGTGTGCTCGATATGACAATGTTTTCATTACGGAAGTCCTCATTGACAGGGGTGTCAATGTCAACCACCAGGATGAGGACTTCTGGACACCAATGCACATTGCCTGTGCCTGTGACAACCCTGATATTGTCCTGTTGCTTGTATTAGTAAGTACATTAACCCAGTTGGCCTAGCACTTGAAGACTCAATGACAGCTATGTGTTTAATAATATCTCTCATGCTACTTTTGGAGAAAGCATGTGTCTATGTCACCATTCATGTCCCAAGAATGCAGATAATTAGAAACAACATTGTTAATCATGAAGCTCCTAAAATAATCCATGTTCCTATTATGACAAGCTTTAGAATAACATGACTTGGTATGCATCAGTGTTAATGGAATGCCTGTGTTTGTTCTCAAAAATTCACATTCAAGCAACTGCAGTCCAACTTTTAAACACATTCTTCCAATGGGATTAAGAATTTGGCAGGGAGGGGAGGACACAGGAGAAGTTGGATGGAGAGAAGAAAAGGTAGCAATGATGCAAAATATAGTACTCAGGTATGAAATATCCCAAAATTAAATTAACAACAACCAACTTTCTTCCCATCCTTGAATATACTGGGTATCAATGACTTTTCCTTTCTAAGTTGAGGCAGGGCTCTAAAACCTGGTTCTATTGCCAACCAGCATGCCAACTCTAGTCTGGAATGCCAAATCTTCTAAAGAAGGTACAGGGCAAATGGCTGCCTTCTTTATGTGGTCTCCAGGGAAGGCAAGTCCAGACTACCGGGTTGACTGCAGAACTGATGCTTCAGACTTTACCAACAACAAAACCTAGCTCAGCACATGGCTTCATCATGATCTCAAGGCTCATTAGTAGACCATTGTGCAGAACCACCCAACCTTGACCAGAGAGAGAGAGACTGTGATCATTGGAAGTGTGACTTAGGACTGGAGGCAGCACCCCCAAGCACCACACTGAAACAGAATATTCCATGTTGAAAAGCCAAGATTGGAATAAGCTTGGACATGAAAACTGGTGCCTGAGGTATTGATATACAAGGGCTAATAGTTATGATGAGCTACACGGTGACAGATTCCTTAGGTCTCTCTGAGACTGGACGGAAGAGAAAATCAATGTGATATTTGTGTACATTGAAGTTAAAGTGCTTCCTCCAAGGAAAATCAATAAATAGTGACATTCATCCCCGTCTTCAGAATAAATGTTTAGAAGAGTTGACTTTCTAAAGAAATGGCAAATCATCTTCTTAACTTGGGATGGATACCACGTGCCATTGCCAGGCTCTGTGCTGGACTCCTTACAGAGTGGAAAGCTCTTCACGGCTATCGTCTACCTTCAATTGTTTCTCCAATTCTTTGATCTTAATTCTTGTTTATTCCTGAAATTATCAGCAGTTTCACACCTCATCGTGAGTGTGGAGTTGTTTAAACAATGAATAATTTTAGCCTTCTATTTAAGAAGTTAAATGAAGTTAAAGTTTAACTTAAGAAGTTAAAGAAAGATGAGCAGATTAAGACCAAGTAGAAAAATCGATTAAAAAATAATAATCTGGCCACAAATAAATAAAATGTAACATAGGAAAATGGTAGCTAAAATAGATTAAAAGCCAAGCTAAAATTAAAAGTTTGCTATCTTATTCAGTAAATAGCACAGGGCAGTTCTGTAAAACAGTACCAGGATTTTCCTTCATGAATGAGTCAAATTGAGAAGAAGAGATGACTGAATCCAGGCAAGGGGTATGATTTTGCAAGATGGAGTTTCCATTATCTGTAAAGGGAGGGAGACAAGCTTTGCAAAGGGTACAGAGAAGATCTAAAGAGACCCTTCCCAATGGCCCAAGCTGGAACAATTTGGTGAACCCTCAAAAGTAGTCATAATGGAGGGTAATGTAAGGCAGGAACAATAAATACATCTGTGCTCATGCCTAAAATAATAAATGGGAGAGTATTTACTGCTCTCATTGGCAGTGTGAACCTGGGAGAGCAGGGCCTAAAATGAGGTGGACTGAAGTCTCATGCAATAGCCAACTTCATTCAGAGCATCAGGTCACTTAAACTTTGAGGGTTAAGAAGAATTACATGAGCAAGATGTTCAATCACAGAGAGTAGCAAGAAAGCACATTCCAAGCACAATTCTACACTTGGGAAGAAACTGAGGCCACGAGACTCTTATCTAGTTTTCTTGGAGTTTTCTCACAAGCACCCAGAATTCCCCTGGCATGACTCCATTCATGGACTGTGTTCCAACAGCAGAGAATACAAAAATCCACTGTGTAGATGAATTGAGAAGATCCATGTGGATCATCTACTCTCAAGCAACTGGAGTCCTGAGATACTGTGGCATTGCCAATGACTTCCTTCTCAAGCTGACAGTGTGGGGAGGGAGGAAGGAAGGAAGGATAATCACCACAGAACCTGACCAGGGCTCCCTCAGAGAGGGAAGGCCCAGCTCAACAGTGATGAGATGTGCTCATTTCAGGTAGCCTTAGTGTTCTGAGAATGACGTTCTATATCCCTGGTGGTCAACCAAAACACATAAGCAAAGAGCAACATGAAAAGTTTTCAGGTGGCCCCCAGTCAAGAGCCATGCTACAAAATCTGTAGCAGTGTGCCTCTCTTTTCCAAGGTTGTAAAAATCAGTGGAAAGCTGAGAAACCCCTACAGTTAAAAGGAAGCCAAGAAGATAAGGCTGCAACTACTATAGTATAGGGCCTGTGGTGGCTCTTGGGGTAGACTAAAGGCAGGCACAGTCGTTGTACATTTTTGCTGAAGAAAGTCATTTGCAATAGCTCCTTCTCATAAAACTGGGTACCATCAAATGATAGCAATAGGGGTATAGGTGCAATGTGAGAGGGAACATTCCATAGTATTATCAATTACTCTGTAAATCTGATAGTGCTCAAAACCAGAAAACTAGAAATATAATATACTGAAAAGTAAGACAGTATTTGTCAGCAGAAACTATAAATATGTGATACATAAATGTGTACTTTTTAAATATATAAATATAGTAAGTATATTTATAGATCAAAGAAAAACTGTTCATTATAACTTGAAAATAATATTATAAGCCATTTTCTGTTATATTCTTTACAAAAATATTTACTTTGGAAAGAACTATATCAGACTTTCCCATATTTTAAAAAAATAATCATCTCCTAAACTGTGCATGAGGTACATTTGTCAATGAACAAATTCATATAATGTTTATAGTCAATTTCATGAAGCAGTTACAAAGACATGATTATTTACAGTTCAAGGTAACTTCATAAATGCAAATGTCACTGCCATTCTTAACTGGCAGAAATGGTCAAGGGAAAATAGCTAAGCCACCCCATCCTTGACCCTTAGAGAGCATACACAATTAATGCTGATGTGAGGTTGGCAGTTGTCATTTTAATTGCAAAGAATGTATGACCTTAAGTTGTGAAGCAAATGGTCATGGGAAAAAAAAGTATTAAATTTCTTTATATGTTAGAAACATTAATTATGTGACAAGGCTGTTGTGTAAGAAAGACATGATAGAGGAATGTGATTGTGTGTGTGCATGCTTGCCTGCATGCGTGCGTGCATGTGTGTGATCTTCTTTGGGAGATCATGTTTTTGTTTTCATCTGAAGCAGTCTTATTTAGATATAGTAGTAATCCTAGCACTCAGAAGGCAGTAAAGAGGACCACAAGGGCAGTCAAGGGTACATAGGGAGACTCTGTTTAAACCAGAACAAAGGAAAGGAAGGAGAGGAAGACTTCAAAGGTTTTTGTAGTTCAAATGAGTTCTGACCTAAAGCGCCAAGACTGATGGGAGCTCCTATTACAGCAATACCATCCTATCAGCAGCTACCAGGGAAGCAAAGTGGATGTTAAGTTTATACAGCAGGTGCTGATTTACAAGGGGTCCCTGGAAAATTATGTGTGTTTGGAATTGTAAGAAACTTCAAGTTCCTTCAGTGAGAACGCATTATGTCCTTGGGAATTCTCTGCCAGGGCTGAGGGCTACACTGTTGCTGCATTTGGCAGTCCTTGGCTCTGCTTGGGGTCTGAGCATTGTTATCATAGTGCCACAGAGTAAAACCTGTTCTCTCTCCACACTGCCTGGCTTTAACTTGCACTCTGTAAAGACCATCCCATCACATGGGAAGTGTGTTGGAGAAGATGAGCACGTGTTTGCTAGGAGCCCCTGTGCTTCCAAGCCTTGCTGTGTCCTGTAGTTATAATTACTCAACATATCCAAAAGAGTTCTAACACCTTTTTTAAAAGATATGTCTAGTTTATCCTTTAAGTTAAAATATAATTATGTGGTGATATATTGCTTGTGCTTTAACACATAAAGCTTAGCTGAAGGTCAGAGTGAGGTGGCTCACACCTTAAATCCCAGTAGTTGGGAGTCAGAGGCCTTTAATCCCAGCACTAGGTGGAGACAGGAATGACATGGCTGGGCAGAGAGAGGACTATAAGGTGGGAGGAGACAGGGGCCCATGGCATTTGGTGTGAGGATTCCTGGAGACAGAATCTCCCTTTCTGTCTGAGGATTCAGACAGAGCTGGCTGCTCTGCTTCTCTGATCTTTCAGCATTTACCCCTATAACTGACTCAGGGTTTTTATTATTAAGACCAATTAGAATTCAAGCTACATAATTAAATCATTATATCCCTTACCTATCCTCCTCCCAACCCCTCCATGTACTTTTCTTCAGGCTCTTTCAAATTTATAGCCTCTTTTTCTTAATTAAAAGTTATTTTTACCTATAAGTGCATAAATATATAGATAGAACCTGATGAGTCTTGTGTGTGTGTCTGTGTGTCTATGTGTATGTGTGTGTGTGTGTCTATGTGTATTTGTGTGTTGTGTGTGTATGTCTGGGTGTGTATGTGTCTATGTGTGTATGTACCTGTGTGTGTGTAATTTCGGGGCTGACCATTTGATATTGGATAGAGAGCCAGTTGGAGGACACTTCCCTGGTGAAGACTACTGTAGTTCTTTGTCCAGGGGAGGGGCCCATGAGATCTCAGAAGTCCATGTTGGCATGTTTACTGATGCAATCTTTGTTCAGTCATTGGTGAAGTCATTTCCAGGAGATGCAGCCTCATGGCAGTCTCCCTGGTCCTCTGCTTCCTAAGATCTTTCCACTCCCTTTCAGTATCAC